TGAGCGGCCTTTCCTGGTAACATCGCCTGCCTGGGAGTCTTGACTGTGAGGAAGCACCTAGCTCCTGCTTCCCGTGATACCATGGCTCAGTTCCCTCCAAAAGTTGGGAGCCTAAACAGCGTGTGGTGGCTGATGAAAGCCAGATCTGTCAGGTTTCAGGTTAGTACCCTTCCTAATGAACCCGTTCTTTACTGCTTTCGTCAGCGCAGCGGTTCAAGGAGAAGCTGTCATGTCGCAGGAGTGCAGCGATGAGTGGGAGCTGAGCAAAGAGAACGTGCAGCCCCTCCGGCAGGGCCGCATCATGGCCACCTTGCAAGAGGCGCTGGCGCAGCAGGAGACTTCCACCCACACGGCCCTTCAGCTCAAAAAACAGTGAGCCATGCTTTGACACCTCCTTTCCCCTTACCTTCCTGCCTTCTCATCGACTTTTCTACGTCTTGTTTAACTGTACGAATCTCGTAGGTGTGAAGAAGCACATAACCTAAGTTCAGTAACTGGTGTGTATGCTACTCACACTCCAGGTATTTCAGACAACTTACTGTGGGTGCTGTAGAGTATGGACTACTGTTAGGTTTGCAGTGGAGTGTTTAAACAAACACTAGAGAGATTCAGTTGTGCTTTTAAATGTACTCATTAAGAAAAATGCGTTAAGGTTACAAGGAGGAGAGCTTTTTTTCTTATCTTTTCTACAATAGTCTGTTGAAGCAGGGTATTTCTTAGGAGACGGATACTTTCTGCTATTGTAGTGTAGGCTCAGCATGGGTATCTCTGGATGTCTTTGGATTGCAAAGTCAGCTTGAGTTTGGTCTGTCTTGCGCGCAGTGAGCTGCAGAGATGACTGTACAACAAGGGGCGCCTTGTGTCCCAGATCTATTCAGTTATATTTCTGTTTCCTGACCCTCAAATCTGCATGCCCTGTGAAGGTTGGGTTGACTTTGTGAAGAGTCTGCATGCTGTGCCTATAGTGTGCTTGTCTGTTGAATCAGGGTATTTCTTAGGAGATGGATACTTTCTGCTGTTGTGTGCTGCAGAGATGACTGTACAACAAGGGGCACCTTGTGTCCCAGATCTATTCAGTTATATTTCTGTTTCCTGACCCTCAAATCTGCATGCCCTGTGAAGGTTGGGTTGACTTTGTGAAGAGTCTGCATGCTGTGCCTATAGTGTGCTTGTCGTGGTGGGCGATCTTGGGTGAAGTCACCAGGAACTGCAAACACCTGCCCAGAACTTACTGAACCAGTGCTCATTAGCTGCATCTGGATTTTTTTTCATGGAAAGCCACAGAATTGTTATTGCTCTGGGCTCTGCGAGAGGGCTTTTCCAACTTGACTCACTGTGTTTCTGAGGCGTTTTGGCTGAGCAGAACCTTCCAAAAGCCTGGGGAGCTCTACAGGATCACGTTAGAGCCACTGCTAAAGACAAGCTAATGTTCTTGTCTAACTCAAGCTGCAACTTTTACATTTTTTTTAACAGATCTACCTAATGGTGTGAGTGAGAGTGAAGGTCTTGGTTTGCAGTTTAAAATATGTGTTTGCAGTTATACACGTGTATTTATTGGATGCACCTTTTTTATTATTTTTTTTTAGAGAGTTTGAATCAGAAATACGATTTTACTCTGGAGATGATCCACTGGATGTCTGGGACCGGTAAGTTTTCTTTTATTTCAGAGGGAAGAGCAGAACGGTCAGATACTCTTGTAGAACCTTGCGGGGGGTGGGAATTATAATTTACTAAGAAACTCATAAAAGGATCATATGTTACATTTCAATACTATTCCTATTTTTTTTTCCTAAATCTCCTGACATTGTACAGAAAGAGATGCCTTGTGTCTTATTCAAAACTGACTTCCTGTGAATATATTCCATCTTTAGGTACATCAAATGGACAGAGCAAACTTTCCCCCAAGGCGGAAAGGAGAGTAATCTCGCAGCAATATTAGAACGGGCAGTGAAAGCCCTCAACGAACAGCAGCGATACTACCAAGATCCTCGCTGTCTTAGTATCTGGCTCAAGTTTGTGAGTATTTTGTGCATGTGTCCTGGGTGCTGCTTTTTCGTGGTGTTTGTGATGTCATTTGCACGCAGTTAATCTGATCTCTGTTACAAACGCAGTCAAAGAATATGTTGTACCACTAGTGCAATATTAGACCTATCTCTCTGTGAACACGTTTCCCTACTCTTGAATTCCAGTGCTTATTCACAATAGGATCTTCAGACCTTTTTTAGGATCATTTAGTTTGAGCAGCTACAAACTTTTAAGTTCTGTTTTTGAAACGCTAGTTTGAGTTAGTAGAGCTTGGTCATTTATTTAAGGATAAAAGAAAGTGATTTGAAGATATGTTTTAGGTGTTGTATCTGTCCTACCAGTTATTTTAAATTCTGTCTGGCATCTGCATCCTCTGTTTAAGGAAAACCAAGCTGAGTGTGTTTTAGTCTTGCCCTGTCTCTCCATTGCTGCTGTTTTTGTTGTTTTTCATGTCTTAAAGCAGCTTTTCTCCAGGTTTAGCTTCCTGAGTTGATTTACCAGTTCCAAAACTAATAAGAAATATATTGTACTTTCCCTAAGGCTAAACCAACTACTCTCAGAAATACTAATATGACGTAGTTCAGTCATTCAGTTATCTCAGATTTTAAAAAAATCTAAAAAACTCCTGACTTTGGTTATGTAGGCTACAATTAAGGAATTGGTAAGGAGATTGACAAATGTATACACGCAGTCAGAGGCTTTTCTTGTTATTCTTCTTTACCTTGTGCACTGTGACATGACACAGTCGTATGTCCTGGCCTTACAGCTGCTCCTGTAGGACTTATGTTAAAATTGGTGGAGTTTTACAGGAGACATCAGCCTGATGTCTGCATTTTGGAATCCCTTGTCATCCAATGCAACTACTGAAAGAATTCGGTGATTTTCAGGGAAACTATTGTAACGAGCCCTTGGATGTGTACAGTTACCTGCATAGCCAGGAAATTGGCACAACACTGGCACAGCTCTACATTGCTTGGGCAGAAGTACTTGAGGCTAGAGGAAGCTTTAAGAAAGCAGATCTGATATTCCAGGAAGGTCTTCAGCGCAAGGCTGAGCCGTTGGAGAAACTCCAGTCCCACCACAGGTAAGCTTCCACCTAAAGGCAACTGCTTAGAGTAGCGCTTACCTGCTACAGTGACGTTTGTGCTGACTGCTCCATTGTTTTTCCCAGGCAGTTTCAGACCCGTGTTTCTCGACAGACGCTTCTGGGGATTGAGGAAAGTCCTGATGAAAATGATGCGGGTCTTCTGGAAGCTGCAGAACCTCAGAGAAACACGTTGGCAGATCTGAAAGGCAGGGGAAAGAAAAAAGTGAGAGCCCCAATCAGTCGCGTAGGAGATGCACTTAAAGGTACATTCAGTTGCTGAAACCACTTACTAAGAGTTATGTCCTTTTGTTGTGGAATTTGCGCTTGAGTGTGATAGCTAAAGGATAATTTGCATAATTTTTTTTGCTTATAGCCACAAATCGAAACAGAAGCTTCCAGCCTCTAGCTTCTCAGCAGCTTTCGAATAATCCAGGTTTTGCTGTGTTTGATGAAAATTCAGCTTCTGGACCTGAGATTCCCATACTTACACCGCAGCCATGGACAGCACCTCCAGTTCCAAGGGCCAAGGAGAATGAGCTAAGTGCAGGACCTTGGAATTCTGGCAGGGTAAGGAAAATGAAAATGAACTGGCAAAACAGAGGAAGGTGTGCGTACGATGATGGGTTATGATCCCCGAGACAAAGGTCATACTCTTTCTCCCTTGCCTGGAGTTTGGGTGTATTTGTAACCTATGAATTCAACCTATAATATTCCTAGCGTCTTCCTAGAGTCTCTGGCTATGTGTAACCTATCAAGTTGAGTAAGCTGATCTTGCTAGAATAAGTTTAAAACACTCTAGAGTTCTTAAATCAAGAAATAGTAATTTTTGCTAACTGGAAAAATTTGTGGAGATGGTCCGCCAAACTGTTTGGAGGACAGAAGAGGAATATAAGAGAGAAAACGCAGGCCAAAGAAAGGGAGAGCAGCTGGGCCTCAGTTAATTCTGTAAGAAAGAAGAGTAAGAGTTAAATTGCTATCATATGGTACAGCCTGAAGGAAGAACTTGTTGCCTGTCTTTGTATGAAAATAAAGCATGTACAGCACCCTGCAAGTCTGTTTTGAAGTGCTCGTGAGGAAAACACAAGAGTGGAGATCAAAAGAACTAAACAACTGCTGTATCAATGGAATGTTTATCTTGACAGTATAGGGAGGCTCGTCAGCGGAGGGAAAAAGGGTGACACAAAGTAGGTTCCAATGGTTTGAATTAGTGCTGGAGACATGAAAAAAGCAGCTGTGCTACAAGTGTTTAAACTGTTTTAGAGGAATGATCCGAAATGTTATCTGAAAGAAATTAATCCTATGAAATCAAGTTTGTTTCATAGGTCCTTAGATAACCTCCAGTGTTCCCCTGTTCATTGTAGATTAGAGAAGAATAGAAACTAATCAGGTGATAAAAATATTATTGACTTCTCAATACAGAAGCTGTTGTAAGTGAAGCTTAGAAACAAAAACTAGGATGAGGGGAGAGGAGCAAATGGGCTGAAATTCCTGAAATTACTGCCAGATACAAAGCAATTTGATTAAGTGAATACAGAAAATGAATAAATTGCAGGTTTAATTTGGCTGAGAAGAATGGGGAGGAAGAATTATCAATGTAAAACTTCTTTTATCAGTTGCCTTGGTTTGGGCTGCTGACTACATTCATCTTCTGGTCCCAAAGGCATTTATGTTTTTTTAGTGTCTGTCCTTAGAGTTCTCTCTGTTCCCTCTTTCATGAAATTGGTTGGATTTAATTTTAAAAAATAAGAAAAAGGAAAAAATCTGAAACTAACAGAAGAGTTGAGGATGTTAATTCACCTTTGCTAAAGTATGGTGCTCATTCTCGCTTGTATTACAGTGAAATGATAACCTTTTGGGATCTCTTTGAGATATTAAAAGCTGCACAGAGGGAAGAGGCTTCTTTCGTTGCTGGTGTGAAAACGGCCAAGTAAACAGTTTGAAAAATGGTAGAAAAGTCAGCTTGAAATATCCCCACCACGTAACATTTTTCTGCATAAGAGTCTGGGGGAATTTCAAGTAGGCAGATGAGAATATGTGAATAGGGAGATTCGGAGTATAGAAGAATGTAGTCTAAAAAAGAATCTTTAAGCTGTTAACATTGACTTTTCCTTCCGCAGCGTCCTCGCAGCAGTGCAAATTTTGGTACAGAAGTGCCCTGCCCACTGCCCAACTTCACCCCGTACGTAGAAGAGTCAGCTCAGCAACAAGTCATGTGAGTCTTCACCTTGGTTTGAAACGGGGACTGCACTTGAAGTTATCAAAGTTGCTTCATCGGATTCTGACGCGTTTTGCCAAGTAGCCGAGCCTCTATATCTACAAGAATTTTGAAATTCTGTAAACCTGGAAGTTCTTAGTGCTTTAACTTGCTGGAGGATGCGTAAGGACATGGGAAGCACTTGACTATTGCAGCTTATTATGCAGGAGCTTGTTTCACATTTATATATGCAGATTAATAGCTGAGCTTGGTGTGTTCCCACAGAAACAGTTTCCTCTCTTAGGGTGCTGTTTGGTGTGAAAGTAGCCTTGAATTGAGACTGGCTTATTGCTGTTTTCTTCTATCTTGGGAACTCTGTGCTAGTTCTAGCTGGAGTTTTAGCTTGAAACAAGCTCTCAAGGTTTCCATGACAACAATGTTGTTTAGGCTGTGGAGGAGTATGCTGGTTGGCCTGAAATTACCTTCCTGCTCATACAGCGATCCCTGAAATGCTGATAAATCCCAGGAGGTAGGGTTGCTCTGGTTTGTTAGGGCAGAGGAAAATGCATTATTTTGCAAAGCTGCTTAACTCTCTTGTTCTGTGCTTAATGGTGGCCATAGAATATGGAATCTCTTCCTAAGAGAGAAGTGGGAAAGAATGTTTGATATTACAGACTTTGAATTGCATGGAGTCAAAGAACACCGAGAGGTGGCTGACAGCGTGGGCTTCTCCTGTGCTGCGTGTGGGTTGCAGAGTAGCTCTAACCAAGGGCGTATCGTGGTCGCCAACCAAATCAAGTCTGAAAATGTTGCGTCGAAAGTGTGTAAACACGATCCAAATCATGCCATGAGTTGTCAACCGGAGATTTGGATAGAAGGACCTGGTAGTGGTCTTGGCAATAAACGCCCCACACATAGAATCTGTATAAACACCCCACCACGGGGAGTACCTGTTTGTTTCCTAATCCTCCAGCTGGTCTTGGGGCAGTGAGTCTGTTCACACACAGAACAAAGCAGGTGTCTTGGAAGCCTGTGCTATGTTTTGGTTTGAACTGTTTACCCAGAGCACAGTTAACACGTTTCTCGAGGCCAGTTGTTCAGAGGATCATTGAGGGACACAGAATTGCTGGGGTCGTCTGTTGGCTGGTATCTGTAAAGCTGTACAAATTCTGGATTCTCTCTCCTGGAATTAGCACATAGTGCTTTCAGAAAGCACTTTCAAGCTGGGAACTGGGCTGCTACTGACTCTTTGCACTGTCCAGTGATAGGGGCTCTTGGTGGATTTTTTTCATTTGCTTCTTTTCTTGTAATAGGGATTTAATTTCTGTCACGGAGCACGTGAAACATTTTCCTGGAGCAAATTCCCCACTTATTGCCTCTTAAATCTTCCCTTTTTTTTTCCTTTATCTTAAATGTCAGGCTTAATCTAGTTCAAGATCTTGCATTTTTAAGCTCTGCTAATTCTCCCCCCTCTCCCCACAAGATAAACTATTTTCTTGGGTGTTTAGGGACTTGTCACTTGTGTGGTTACACAGATTGATGGAGCTAAAGTAAGCAGAGATTCTGCTCCAGAGTGCACAGCAATTCAGAGCATCATAAGGATTTTACTTGCTCTTGGCTGGGCCTTAGTAACACTTTGTTTGGGGTTTGACTTTTTTTTAATTTTATTTTTATTGCACAATTCTGCATTGGTGTGCTTGCCTTTTATGTGCTATCATTCCATTTTTCTTATTTGTTTCTTCTTTCAACAGAACAGAATGTCTTTATGCTATTCTACAACCAGATTCTGAAATTAGCTATTTTATCCCCTATGCTTGCTTTTCTGTGTTACAGTGAAGCACATAGAATCAAAGTAATAACGGCCTGTTTTTTCAGGACTCCCTGCAAAATTGAACCCAGCATAAACCGTGTGTTAAGTGCTCGCAAACCTGAGAAAGAGGAGGACCCACTACAGCGAGTGCAAAATCATCAGCAGGACACTCAAGAAAAGAAAGAGGTGGTGATGTACTGTAAAGATAAAGTTTATGCTGGTGTCGAAGAATTTTCCTTGGAAGAGATCCGAGCTGAAATCTACAGAAAGAAAGCGAAAAAGAAAAGCGAAGGTATACTTCAAAATGGGACGTCGTAAGACTTTCTGAGATGGAATAATAAAATTATACTCACTCCTTATCAGCATACAGCTGTCTGCTATTGCAGTTGCTTTTCTTTTTCTACAGGAGTGGTTATTTAACTGCTCTGAGGTATAGAGAAAGTACCCTACCTGACAGCTTTACATGTAAGCTGTGAAACAGGGAAAGAAGACCAGAGCCTTTAGTCTCTTTAAAAATAATTTGAGCTTTAGCCTCAGATTGCACATGAAATCTGCATTGTGCCTTGTATGCTTTTCTTCCTTAGAAGAGATGGAGGCCATAGCACAGAAGAAGGAAGAAATACAAAGGAAAATTGAGGAGCTGGAGGAGAAGTTAAAGAAGAAAGATGACAAGCAGCAAGAACCACGTGAAAGGGTATTGTCCTCTTTTAACTGTTCTTGTACAAATAGCTACTATTTTAGGTAAAAGTTCCAAAAGAGGAACAATGTCTAATATGTTTCTCTTTTACTTGCACTTTTTAAACTTTTTTTTGCAAAGGATGCTTCAGTCTATTATGCATATACATCACGCAGTAAATGAATGCTCAGAGAACTATTTCTTTTCTTCTCGCTCACTTGTCTCCAGGCCGTATCCTTTTGCTATAGGAATGTAATTCAAAGACTTCAAGTTTTGTAGTGTTACTTTGCAAGTTAAATTATTTAACAGATCGGACAAGATACTTTACGCGAAGGTGTGCTATTTAGCCATTGGCAGGAAAGCAAGGCTTTATCGTGCATAATGGTTACTTAGGAAGACAAATGCCATAATCCTGAACATCCCCTCTTCCTCCAGATTTTATTGTTGGGCATGATGGAGTAGCCCAACATAATGGAACAGGTGCAGAATAGCCTTTTGGTCAGTTGGGATCCGCTGCCCCAGCTGTGCCCCCTCCCAGCTCGTTGTGCGCCCCAGCCTTCTCTCTGGGGTGGCAGCGTGAAGAACAGATCTTGGTGCTGTGTAAGCACTGTTCAGCGATAGCTAAACCAGCAGTGTGTTAGCGGTGTTTGGGTCAAAAATACCAAAACATAGCACCATACCAGCTACTAAGAAGAAAATTAACTCTGTCCCGGCCCAGTACACAAAGCTGTATTCTGATTCATCTCCAAGTTTTATAGAGAGGAGTATGCTCTTTTAGGTATCAGACTTGACTTTTTTTTTTCCCCCCTTTTCTGTGCAGACCAGCCTTGAGCAGAGTATCTTTCAAGCTAGTATGCTGTGGTCTGTCATTGCTAGGTAGTGTTTAGGCCCTGGTTTTCTTATAGGTTGCAAATAATAAGTGAAAGTTAATTATTTTAAAGCTATTTCTTGTTGCCTGGTTTGTGGTTCCATCACCGTAGGACCAAAATATGGCTTTGTTTCTACAGCCAGCAGAGACAACGGAAGCTGTGCCACCTTTGGGACTGCAAGGATTTACTTTTTGCAGCGCCACAGAAGTTGGGGAGAAGCAGCCTCAGTTGCAAAGGTAATACAGGAGTGTCTTTGCCAGCAATGAGAAAATTTGTGGGGATAATTAGTTATGAGTAGCATGGATCCCTGACAGGTAGCCTGCTTGTGCTGGCAAAACAGAGTATACCCCAAGGTGTCGGCCTGTAACCAGGATCTGTAATCTGTCTTAATATATATTCAGTTATTTGTCTGAGGGATTCTAACTTCTTACAAGCAGCATATGTCAGCTTGGCTTGCCGTTTTAAAGAATTTGCTTATGTTTTCTGAAGGTGTGTAAAATATAAGCAACAAGTTTGTATCTTTTCCACAGTGAATTCCAGGTGTCTGAAGATACTCGACTAAATAAACCATCTGTTTCTGAGGGTAAGTATTTTAATATTTTTACCATTAAAGAGGAGGCCGTGTTAAAGGGAAGTGTTCTTTTAGATCAACAGCAAGACTGCCACAAGCTAAAAACAAACGTCTAGGTGGATTAGAAGAATGAAAGTGAGAGCTTACTGGTAGTGCCTTTAACCATATTCAGCAAAAGACCAAGCATCTGAGGTCTGAGAACTGTCACTGTTTGAGAGGAATTTCAAGCAGAAGAGCTTTATTTCTTTTAATAGCTGAAGAGCTCTCTTCACGCTTTCACATATGCAGTCTCACTAAAATATGTTAAGAGTTTCACATTAATATTGATCCTATTGTAAGTTCTTATTTTTCTTCAGAGCATTTGGTAGAGGAATCTAATCACAAATTAGTCAGTCAGTTTTGTTGTTGGGCAGGGTGTGTACTGAAGAAATTTACTTTTGACTACCGTTACTGTTGACAGAGGTTTTCCAGTCTCTTGGTGGATGCCCAGATACGCAAAAGGCAAGCGTGTTTTTAGACTCTGAGGAAGAACAGGAGGAACAGAGAGATGAGGCCGATCTTGGAAAAAAAGGTACACGTTCTGAAGCATGTTCTAAAAAGAGCAAGCTGGCTAACATAATGTGGTAGGAGGAGGGTGGTTCGCTAACGTGACAAAGCCAGGCTTTTTTAATAGGTTTCTTTTAAGTGTCAGGTCTGTAAATTCCTGCTAGGACTGAGATTTTTAAGACCGTGAATTAAGTGCTTAAGTAGCATTGGATGCACTGTTGTGGAAAAATTCTTGCTATAATAGAGCTTCTTGTTTTTTCTTTACAAATGTAGGTCTCCTTCCCCCACAAGATCCTGCTACACTTTTCTCCATATTTGATGAATCCTCTACTTTGGCAAATCAGAACACAAGGTAGAATTATTCAAGACCTAGATGTCAAAGGGAGGGAAAACCGAAGTACGGCTTTCAATAGCAGCTGAAATACAGTACTGTTTGTTGTATGGCTCTTGGGTGGGTTTCTTTTGCTTATAGTTGTATTTTTTGTTTTATTTCGCTACTCGGAACCTCTCTGTTGAGGAAGTACTGTCCTGTTGCTCCTCCTCGATCTAGAACTATTTAAGCTAATACATAAAATGTTCTTCATTCTGGAGAGCAGTTTCAATTGCAGTTTACAGGTAGTTCCCTAGTAGCAAGTGGTAGATTGAAAGTCTTGAAAGGAATCTCTGTTGAAGATTTGAAGTTACTCTCATAAATACTTAATGGTATGTAACTTATCTTAGTTGCTCTGCAGATCGTACACGGAAAAGTGCTCGACGCCCTCTTGCTGTTCGTAAACCTTCCGATTCTCAAACTGCAAAGGAAAATGTCCCACCAGAAGCTTGTGTAAGGAAACGATTTATCCCAGAGCAGATTGCCTGTCGAGGAGAAACTGATATAGAATGTCCTGCTGTTGAGCTGAGCGAGATCGACTGGACTGACACGATGGATGATAAGCAAGGATTTCAAGTGTGTCTGTGTGGCATGGCTGTACTTGAACTGGGTGATGTTAAGGTTACGCTGGAGACTTCATGTTTTTATTAAGCTTTAAGTGACTCGTACAGAGATGATGGTAAAGAGTCTTCCAGGTTTTAACTGACTGATTAGCAGCTAGGATTACTCACACTGAAGCTTTAAAGTTTGTGTGATGGAGAGTTGCACCCTTAAACACTGCCTCCTGCTCCATCCGCTTTCTTGCCAGGCATCCAAACAAACATCTCAGCTTCCGTGTTCCTCACCTGAAGTACCATATGCTTGACTCTTAAACCTTTGTCCTTGTTTCTTAAGCTGTGGGTCTTTATGTGGCAGTCCTGCAGATGCTTGCAAAGCTTTCAGTAGAGGTGGTAGTTGCCATCTCACCAAAGGACTTAGTTAGTACATGCCACAATAGACCTTTAGACTGATGGAGAGGATTTTATTCTGAGCCGAGAAGGATTTCATGTACAGCTACAATACGAAATACTTAGCAGGGTTAAGCCTGGTGAGCATCCTGCTGATTTTGTTTCTAGAGTCAGTCTGGACAACTGTGTGGTTCTGCTTTACGTTTTAGTAAACACTTTAGTAATGTGGTTGTAACCAAAGTGAAATGCACTTCTGGGGTGGTAGATAATACTACCGTAGCCTTTAACAGCTCATAGCAGCACTGTAGAGGGTAACAAAACTACCCTTTCTAGCTGGAAAAAATATATGCAACTATATTACAGTTAGGATTCAATTAGTCAATCTGAATGAGCAATGTAAGTAGAGTACATGGGTAGTGAGGTAGAGAAATATTCAGCTTTTAAATAAATGAAAAGAAAACTTGTTGTAAAATCTACAGACTTATCACTGTGTCCTCTTTTTTTTTTTTTTTTTCAGGATGAGCTGAATGGAATTGAACCTTTGACTGAAGATGCGATTGTGACAGGTTCCTACAAGAACAAAACCCTTTGTGCCAACCCAGAGGACACTTGTGACTTCGTCAGGGCTGCCCATCTAGCCTCAACACCCTTTCATGGGCTGGTAGCTCAGAGAGTCCCGGCTGCTTCGCAGGGTGACCTGAAGGAAGACTGCCCAGACTCCAAGGATGCAGCGCCGCTCAATCAGGAAACTCCGGTCTGCGGGGGAGCGTACAATGAACCTCTTTGTGTCAATAAACTAAGGTAACTAACAGCAAAGCATCCTAAGCCCCTTTTCCCACATGTCTTTGGTTGCGGCTTTACTATTTTGTTGCTGAGGAAACTATTTTCTGAAGAGATCGGGATATATTGAAGGCAAATGTTTCCTCTAGTTTGGGGTCCCTTTTGCCTTGAGCAGATTTCAGAGGTAACAGCAAGCCCACTTGGCTTTCCAGCATTACTGCTGTGAGACTGAACTCTGTGCTTCTTCTACTAAATAACTTGGAAAAAAGATAATAAACACATCCTGTCTTTGTAACCGGAGATTAGAAGTAGAATAATCAGTTCCTTTTGTACTTGGATGCTTCTGTAGTTATTTTAGTATAAAAAAACCTGCATCTGGTGATTATGGCTTTGATTTTCTTCTACAGAGGAAAAAAGCTGGAGAGATAAAAACTGGCAAACAACCTCTTGCTTTCTTATCATTGTAAAGAAAAAAAGCATCTGTTGTGTGTGGGTTTCTTATTTTAGAACTGAGTTTGATTCGCTGGCTGTTAGTATGTAAACATGTGTACCACGCTGAAGGTGCGTGTTTACTTGGCAAGTTCCCTGGGAAAGCGTACTGGTTGTAGTTGGGAACGAAGAGCAAGAATTATTTCCCAGCCAACCTGCCCCTGCTTTAAAAGCACCGTGGGTCTGAAGTTTGGCAGGTAAAGGAGTAGTGAACAGTCAGGATGTCTTCTGTTGGAGCACAGTCGTATTTGATGGAAGAGAAGGTAAAGTTAATCTGTAGACTAAGATTCTGAGTATAAACAACTGAAGCTGAAATGAAGCTCTGACGTAACTACTGTTGTTGCACTAGGGATGGGAAAGGACTTTATTTAACATAAAGGAGTCTGGAAATGCACCGTGTCTTTTCATGGGTGCTAAGCTGGCATTATCTAGGCACTGTATCTTCTGGAGGTCTGAATAGCTGATGACTTTATTTACAGCCCGATCATGGAAGCAAGCCTGGAAGATACTCGCTCGGCAGGTTCTTCAGTCTCCTCGGGATCTTCTCTTTCCTCTGTTACGCAAATATCTACTATTAAAGAGCTGCATATCCCTGAGAAACTGGAACTTGCTCAGAGCTTGCCTGCTGAAAAGGTTACTGAATCTGGAGGTACCAGTGCAAACGTGACTGGTTAGTACTAAACTCTTTCACTCACAACAAATAACTTGCAGCTGCCACTAAGCTATGGTGCTTTTTCTGTGCTTCCTATCTTCTACTCTGCTCTCTGTGTACTTCCCATTGCTTTGACTTGTGACTTGAGCTCTGCGCTGGCTGAGCAGATGTGATCCTGCTCTGGGGGGGGGGGTGGGCTAAGGTCCCTTCCAACCCCTGACGTTCTGTGATGCTGTGATGTCCCTAGTCTAATTCGGAGCTTTGCCTCTTGTTGAAAGATCCGTTTTACACGATGCTGCAGTAGAATCCTTGACTCCTCATGATGAGGTAGTCTGTAAGGGAGTTTCAAAGATGAGTGTTGCTTTTGCTTTACAGGACAAGAAACTATTGGAAAGAATTTAATTGCCTTGCTGAAAGGTGATGCAGTAAATCAGCACGCAGACAGAAAAGCTTCTAACAGCCAGGTCACTTCCTCTTGACAGATAGAATCGAGTCACAGAGACTCAGCCCCTACTTTCAGCTCATCTGTTTCTATTGCTTGTCTTCCTAGGTGATGGCGTCATGCAGTTTCCGTGGAGTGCTGAACAGCGTAAAAAGCTTTTGGATCCTATGCCGGAATCCTTGACTGCTTCTCCAGATTTTCATTTGGAGGCTGGCTCTCTGCCTGTCATGGTGTTGGAGAAAGATGTGGAGCTGGGTAGGTATGCTAGACTCTCTACGCTGCAAAGGATCTATTTATGTTCCAATTGGTTTGAAATGCACTTTGTGCTCACCCTCACTAGTTTTACATGGTGTAGATGGGGAATAACTTGAACAGCCTGGACACATGCGCTGCTGTGACAGCTCATAAATGTAAAATTTCCTAACAGGAAATGAGGCTTACTGTATCAAACGGGAGTACTGGACCAACGAAGAGTACAAGATGTTTTTTGCCATTCCAGCTAACTTTCCCCAGTTGGATGCAAAGGGATTTGCAATGAAGGTACCACACGTGATGCTTGTTATACAAGTGTGAAACGTTAAAATCTCCTCAGCCAATACAAAGTAAAATGCAGTATGTTTGGCCTTAATTTCTGAATTCCATGCATGAAGCCTGTTACTTCAAGTTGTCTTTGTTGTTTGGGTTTTTTTAATTGTTGATATAGATGCAAAGCTTCTGACTGTGGCAAATATCGTCCTTGGTAAAGTGGGCAGGAAAAAAAGAGAATGAGAAGAATATGAAGATGAGCAATACTCAGTTTATTCCAAAAATATTCTCTGTACCTTTTTGTAGGTGTATTCTCAGCCTGTGCCTTGGGATTATTATATCACACTTCAGTTAGAGGAGCGTTTGAGCGCTGATTTTGACCAAAGCTTCAGTGAGAGTTGCAGCTGTTACATGTACCGAGATGGCTGTGCTATTCTGCACAGGGACATCAACCGCTTCACGCTTGGGGTCAGTACCCGTCAAGTGCCATTTAGAAGACACGAGCTCTTGCATAGGGCGCTCTCAGGGAGTTTTGTCATGCTTGTTGCTGAAGATGGTTTCACATGTTCCATCCTGCAATCTGGGTATTCTCTTTTGTTTTGTCTGTACACAAATTAGGACTGTCTGTTGTAGCCTCAGTCAGAGCTGGTCTCTCGTTCATAGATCATGTGTTTCTCAAAGACAAGCTTGAACCAATTTTTCACATTTTCTTTATTCATGAGTGATAAACAGCCTGAGCCAAGAACCACACGTTACTCCACAGCAAGGTTTGCATTTGAAAGTCGTGTTTCACTTTGCATCTTTCAATGAATTCCAGTCTGTTATAGCAAGGTCATAGCATTTAGTGGATTGCTGAAGGATTTACGTGTTAACTAAGTCGTCTTAAGTTCATTTTTTAACTGTTGCATATAAATAGGATACAAACGAAATAATGATTTCAGTCTTTGATTCAAATTCCTCCTCCTGCTCTTTTTGTCCACTTCTGAATAATGGTGTCTCCTGAGACCTTGTGGTTCTTTTAATTCTGGCTGGGCTGGTCACAAACAAAAGCTGATTATACTGAATTCAGGGTAGGACTGTTATCTCTACACAGATAAGTAGGGGGGAAAAAAAGGTGAGCTATAAATATTTCACTTAATCTAAGGTAGAATGACATGTAGATATGTGTTTATTCCTGGTTTACAGGATATTATTCGTGGCTGTAAATCCATCACGGAGGAAGTTATCCTGCTGATTGTTTATAATCTTCTGGGTGTGGTAGAGAAGCTTCACAAAGCAGAGATTGTCCATGGAGATCTGAGTCCAGAGGTGTTCTTTCTGGGAGACAGGTTGGTCTCTTTGTATTAATATAGAAGGGTACAGAATACTTGGTTTCAGCTGCAGCTGAAACTTGTACTTTTGTAATTTCTCCTCTTTAGTTGCAGTACTGATACTGCCACCCCCTTTTTTTTTTAGGCTTCAGTGTATTTGGAAAATGTCAAAAACGTTTAGGAATAAACCTTTCTTTTGTTTATTTCTATAGAAATAGCATAGAATGATGTTGTAAAACTTATACTAAACAAAATGGTTTTGCTGCTGTCTGTGTTCTTCAGTTTCTGTTTTACCCCAATGTACTGGACCGCTGACTGGGTGTTGGTAAATAACTTGCTTTCTGCTTTTCGGTATCTGAAAAGCAGGAATTTAGGAGACAAAGGGTAGGTGGGACTGGAATATCCAGACACGCTTTTGAACAAGCTTAACCTCCACTACAGTCCAGCTTCTGACTTGATGCACAGATCTCGTTTTCTTCTTTAAGCTCTTTCCCATATTATGTTAACAAAGTCACACAACCCTTGGAATGTGCTCTGGGAACCAGCAGTGTGGGAAGGTAGTAACTTTGGAATGTCTAATGATTCGGCTGTAATTCCATTAGAAGAAATTCACTGAGGCTGTTCTCAGTCTTCACTGACATGTTAAAAATAGCTGTTAACTTTAAAATTATTTTTGAACCTACAGTCATCTAGCATGCAAACCCCCAATATATTTTTTAATTTATTTCTTTGAGATCCAGTATCATCTCTAAAGCTTCAGGCTGCCGGCTGGTTCTTCATCCAGGGCCGCTCCTTTCAGCAGTAGTTCTTACGCTAACCATCAGAGGGGAGCATTGACTCACCTGCACTGCGCTGTGATATCTGATTTTAAAAAAAATATTGTTTTTCTTACGCTTCATTTGCTTCCCCTGCTCAGGATCTGTGATCCGTTCGCTAATGACGAGATGGCAAGAGCTCTGAAGATAGTGGATTTCTCTCACAGTCTAGACTTGAGATTACAGTCTCAAGTAAGTTTGCCCAACAGCTTTCCCATATCTCAGACCCCTCATGGAAAACAGCTTCTGGCAAAAAGTTCTCTTCCTTATCAGGTGAGTCTCTATTTAGCAAGACTTCTTAGTTCCTGTGTTTCCTTTACAGAATCTCTATTTTCTTAAGTTGTATTTGGTAACTGCTGTGGAAAGCTCTGATCGATAAATACTGACTAAAGGGAATTTTTCATCTGATGAAATCCTTGGCATTAAGTGAAAGAACTGGCAGCGCTGTTGAGTGCCTATATTTATTTAGGAACCTACCATAAGACCAGAATTGTACGTTTTGAAGTTTTCTTGCTTAGCAGGTCTCTGGAAGATTCTGGTGCAAAGACCAATTCAGACTTAAATGTGTAAAAGCAGCAGCAGTAGGAACCTGCAGTGGCTTGCAGAAACCAACCGGAGTTGAGCTTTCTCACGTTTGTTGTGATTGCAGGTAGATTTGGTTGGTGTTGCAGACATAGTCCATCTGATGCTGTTTGGGGATCATGTCCAGGTCTATCAAGAGAATTCCATCTGGAAAATCAGCCAAAACGTATCAAAGTAAGTCCTTTAGCAGAGGAGGCTGCTGGGAAGGAACAGGCTTCTCACTTCCTTCACTTTCTTTACAGTGGTGCTATCTTCAAGGCTGAGAACACGGACCTTAGTGCTGTTGTTGCCAAAAGCATTAGTTCTGTGGAGACTTAAAATTTGAAGCTACTAGATTTATTCATTATTTACCAGCCTTAGTGCTTTTTAAGCTGAATGTGAGCCTAACAGTCCAGTTAAGATGATTTTGCTTTTTTTATCCTTTCAGACCAGACTGCTTTTGTCTCTTCACTTGATAGACCAAGCTTAGAGAAGTTTATAAGTGGGTGGGTGGGTGAGGAAGAAAAATTATGTGAGCATGTTGCTTTAGAAATGGAGATTGTTTTGCTTTTCTGCTTTTTTGCATTCTGTATTCTATACTGAAGGGCTACTAAGGCCCTGCTGCCAGGGTTCTGTCTGCAACAGTTGCAGGAGCAGTGTTACCCGCACAAGAAGGAAAATAATTTAAAATTGCAATTTGAGATGCATATGCAAGCAGCTTCTTTTTGGAAGCTGCTGTTTGTCCTCGGGTATTAATTCGTACCTGGTTTGGCTGTAAGACTACTCTGCCTCCCTTTGTTCTTAGACTAAGCACTTGTTAGTTTTGTTAGCCACGTCCTGCAGAATTTTTTGCCTTAGCGTTTCATCAGGATTTTCCAGAACTCTCTATTTGTGGCATATATTACTTGACAGCTATCTGCATTCAGGAGCACGGGGTTTATGACCTGCCCTCGCCGTGTGGATCCATTTCTCTAGCCACTGCTTTAAGAAAACCTCCTACCAGTGTGGGAGTTGTCCAGTTCCCTAGCAACCTCCAGTGCTTATACCTCCTCGTGTGTGGCGTTCAACCTTCGGGGGAAAAAAAATCTCATTATTTTAAGCTGTGGATGGGGGAAAAATTCTTTTTTCTTCATCTGTTTTTCTGCTGCATACTCATGCTGCACGCTGTACCGTACCCTGTCGCTTTGGGTTTTCCTTCAGAAGATCAACAGAGAGGACGAGGCTGTGAAGAACAAAATCACCAAGGGTGATTGGTCTCTGAAGAGGTGAATATCAATGCTGTATAGGTTGGCAGTAAATATTTATCTTGCACACCTTTGTTTCAGAAATGCTAAAAAAAAAAAAAAAAAAGAGGGACAAAAAAAGGGTGCAACTAAATCATCGATGGAGACTGGCTTTTGCTCTCTGCTGACAGAGATTCTAAAATTACAAATCTTTGAGCTCCGTATATCTGACCTGCTCTGGAAAATAGGATTCCTGTATATTAATTCCTAGCAGAACATGATCTGTTTTAACAGGGTTCAGCTGGGATAGAGGGGCAGATTTCTGATTGATTTCATTAATTACTCTTTGAATTTTACGAGAGATTAAATTGAGCTACTGCAGGTGAAGCCACCCAAGTCTGAAGCCTCACATGGGCTGTGTAAACGAGGCATTTCGTTACGCAGGAGTGCGGAGTCTGCACTGAATCTCCTTTTCTCTTCACACACGGAACTTTCAGGGTGTCTGGCTCTTACTGGTGACACATCCTCCAGTCAGTTGGAAGCTTTCAGTAAATTCTCAAGTAATCTCTGACAGAGGTCACTGGTGCAAGGAATCTTCCCCCACCAGAAGGGGCTGCACCACAGAGTGTTTCCCTGTGACAAGAGTCACCCGATGGACCTTCATCTCGTGCTTTCTCTCCTGCCTGCAGCAACCTCGGTTCTTTCTCCCGGTGCTTTCAGTCATCCTGCTTGCCTTTTGAAAGATTGTGTTACTTCTGCCCTTTCTGCTAAAAAGTCTCTTAAGTGACTTGGGAAGTGGTTGGTTTGGTTTTGGGGTTTGGTTTTTTTAGGGCTATAGTGACAGGATAACTTTCCTCAAAGAATGTTCTGAAACTTTAGGCAGTGACAAGTAGAAAGGCTTCCTACTAGACTGCTGACTGGGGTTAAAGGCAACAACCATGACCTCCGTATCTTATGAAAGCTTTTTAAAAAGAACTTTATTATTTTTAAGTATTAAACAAATTTAAACGTAGTTAACTGACTTGTAGAGCCACTAATTTTACTACCAGCTCACCGAAGTACCAAAGCAGTGGGGAATTACAAGGCAAAGCACAAAACTGTTCTTCTAAGGCCACTGGCACCCCGTGAAGCAGAACCACCTTGAAAGGTGGCCCAACGAATGCAAAACACTTTGGCCAAGACTTCTGGAAAAGTCTGGAATGTCAATTCTGATCAAGTTTCTTTTTCATCTTTGAGCATTACTATAAGGTTTTTGACCTGGTTGTCAGTGGAGGGGGCTTTAGCATGTTACCGTTATTAAAGAATGAATTTGGAAATTTTTCAGTTCCAGGAGTATTTTCAATTTTTCTCTTTTCACTATGCTATTTTAGGAAGCTTCCTCTGTGCAGGCTTCAGTGGGGTAGTATACAGAAGTTGTGTTTGAGTTTTTAGGACTATTTTTGTCACTCATAACTCTTTAGACATCCTTACCAGCGTGTAACCTCCTCTCCTATGTGTCTTGTCTAAGTCCATGAAGAAAATGGCCTCAAGTCTTGCTTTTTTTTTTTTTTTTTTTTCCCCCTTGGTCATCATCCTGAGACTCTGGCTGCTGCTGTTTTTTGAGACACTTACACCAAGCAGAGGAGGATAACTTGTTCAAAAGCCAACGTAACTCCTGGCTTGAGCAAAGCCAAGTGCTTCAGGAGGGAGAGGCAGTGGGGTCTGCGGCCTTTGGTGCAGAACTGAAGGGCAAAGGGTTAGCTCTCCTACCAGTTTTCTGAGACTTTAATGAGTTAGTTAACCTTTTTATCCCTGTTGTGTGGGTATATCTGTGAGCGAGGGGATTTATTAGGGTTAATTGCTTTTGAAATGTTACTGGTATGAGAACTCTGGTGGTTGGAAAGCAGAGAAAAAGAAAGTAAAACTGGCTGTAAACCACTTTTTTATTTATTTCGCTTGCAGCTTTCTTTAATATTGACCTGTGAACTTAACTTGCAAATGGGGGAGTAAGATTTACTTCTGCCCCTTATTCATGAAAGGAATCTGCCAACCTTGTTAGTTCAAAGAATGCTCTTGATAACCCCTTTAATTTAAAAGTGCCTGGGGATAGTGGTCAGGGACACTAGAAGAGGGAACAGTACAAAGGTGGTTTTGATAGACCTGTGAAACAGCTGCTGTGGGGCCTATCCAGAAGCCTGGTGGAGAAAGGGGCCCACATGTGCAAACTTACCAATACATTCCTCATTTTCCTTTTCACTCCCATGAGTAGATGTAATTGTTATTTCGGACTGGCTTTTCCCAGGACATTGAGTGCTGAATATAAAAGCAAATCTTGACAGAGGTGTCCTGTGTGCATGCTGTGTCACTGAAAACTGCTCTGTTTGTTTTAGGACTGTTGACAGTGATTTCTGGAGTAAACTTTTTGGGAGAATTCTGAATGCAGATGGTAAGTCCACAGTGCCTCTGCTGGGAGAGTTAAGAGAGGAAATAAGTGACATGTTTGACAGCTCTTTCCACGAACGGCTCTGTGAATCCTTAGCTGCACTGGGAGAAACCTTCCTCTCGGAGAACTTGCTGTGATTTTGTAGAGGACAAATACATTTCTGTATTATAGAGGAGAATTTGTTGTTAACTTTTTATTTAATTTTTTTTTCAAATGTAAGCACAAATGATGGTTGTAGCTGTTTCTGCAATACTTCACAAAGGACTTGCTAACCTCCTAAGCCTGCTCCCTGAACTAGTCTGTGTTTGAGCAGATTGCCAGAGAAAATTGGTTGTCGTAACTGCCTCTTCCCCTTCTTGTGTAGCTCCCTAAAAATGTATTTCATACCTAGTTCACACTGCAGTCTCTGAAAATGCCTTTGTCCCACGTCTTGTTGGTCTTTTAATTAGTGTTTCGTCAATAAAGTTGTATTTTGATAGCAGCTCTGTCATATTGAGCATTACTGTCAAGACTGTTTCAAGGCTTGATTTAGTGTGCCTGCTGGTGTGCTCGTGCCTGACTGGGGATTGGTTGTGGCCGCTGGATACAAAAGCCTCTTGCTTGTTGGCAGCTTCCGTAATCACGCAGGACTTCCTGGACACTTGAACACAACTCAGATTATTCCACTTGGAATGTGCTCCCATGGGTACTTGTCCTCAGGAAAAGCAGGTGAAGTCCCGAGTGAAAAAGATGCATACTTCAATTTTTGCTTCTCGATACAAATGCCTTATTTTTTTTTGCAAGGGCTGGAGTTACTGTCTGGATTGAGCACCTCTGGGGAATCTCACTGAATTCTGGATTTGCTGTATGTGCTGAAGTGTTTGCGGGTTTCTGTGGATTGATGCGTGCTTGGTTTTTGTGTGCTGCATTATTGAAACCAATACAAGGGCTTCACAGGATGCTGGGGCTTGGAAAGGACCTTGAAAGATCATCTGGTCCATTTTACTAAAACAAATTTCAGAATTTATAGGATCCAAAACTGTGGCGCTACATACCTGATTTGTAGAGGAACTTCTTAGACTCAGGATTTACATCCTCACAGCTTCTCCCACATATGAAATCAAAAGCAGAAGACTAATCTCCCTATAAAACTATGCTGGCTGTGTTCTTTCATTTGGCCAAAGTCTCTGACCGTGGTTCCCCTTGGTTCTCCTTTATTTGTCTTTGTTGTCTCGAAATCCTGCTCTGGAGCTTAATTCTCTATTTTCTAAGTTGCTACAAGCCACCCTCTTTCCTATTCTTTCTGTGTATGTCCATCACTGCTCCTCTTGCTCTGACCTGTTTGCTTCTCCAGATACCTAATGCCTTCTTTATAGTCCCCACGTGACGGTTATGTGCTCGTAATTCAGGAATAAGATTTAATGGACTGACAGACAAGCTTTATCTAATGTACACTGCTGCTGGAGAATATTTTTTTTTTGTCCATTAATATCTCAGATAATGCTTCCTGTAATATGAGTCGTTAGTTCTCTATTGAGCAAGCAGATAAAATAACGATTTATCTGTAGCCAGAGTTTGGAGCAAGGATCGCTGGATGGGCAGCTAGGGGCTACGCATTGGATTCTGTTCGCTCTAAAAGGGCTCGGATGTTTGTTAGTGCTTTCCTTTAGCTGAAAATTGAGGGGGTTTGCTGATCTTCTAACTTCCTTTTAGACAAAGTCTGGGGGATCTCACTCCTGTCCTCTCACTTTCACCCTTTTCAGTTTATATCCTGCAACACTCAGGAAAAACAGGTAGCTCGGGCAAATCTATTTGAGAGTACTTTAATGAAGTCTGTTTTAAAGCTGAAACACTCTGGTATGTTGACTTTCGGCATCTGGTTTCTTTCTGAGGGAAAAGTGTGTTAATCCTTCTCCATCTCCTAAGCTTGCCCTCAGTTAGCTGCGCAAGAGCGTGCCTCGTTATTTTCCGTATATGTCCCAGACAACACAAGCACCTCAGTTTAAGAAAATAATTACTGAAACTCCCCTCCTCACCAGTTCTGTAAAATAAGAAACACTTGGCAAGAGCATCACAGGCTTCTCCATAGGAAACAAACACACACAGCTAATGAAGAGGAACCAGCAGCTATAAAAAGAAAGAGCAGGCATCTCTCTTCGGCTGTTCGTTCCCAGCTCTACTCTGCCCACCCCATCCTACGAGCTGATTGCACCAATCTGTAAAAAAAGCTCAGGGAATTTTCAGACATCTCTTGTATCTCTGTTTAGATTTTGTCCTTCACGCAGCAGCATGCAGCCCTGATCAATGGACGATTCCTTGGACTTCTTTTCATATATACGTTTTAATATAATGAACAGCGTATTAAAATTTGCAATAGCTCGGAGTCCATCATTTAATTTTTTTTAGGTAACCTCACTGAGACTTCTAGGCCTGGCCATTGGACATAATTCCACTCTACCCCTTGTGGTACATCTTGGCAGCTGTAGATGTTTCTCTTCTGAAGAAGTTAGGACAGTTTTGACCGCCCAGCATCTTCTGGGCAAGGCTGGTCTCTCTTCTCTTTCCTGACTGGGTTGTTAGAACCCTGGCCCGTGAGATCTCGGAGCGTGTCCATCTTTCACACGGTGATTCAAGAAGTGATCCTTAAGAAAAACGTGCCTAAGGCTGGAGGAAGACAGTTACTTTAAAAGAAAGAAAACAACCCCCCAGCATGGCTTCGTGCCTGCTGCTGTGTGCCTAATCACGGAGGGTAAATAGATTTGATCCTGCTCAGTTACCAGAAAATAACAGCATTGGCATCTGGAGGGGAAGGTGCCAAGATGAATAACGTTTCCTGGGGCAAATGCCACGCGCTCGAAATCTCACGCATCTGTTCTGTAGCTGACGTGAAGCTCTTATTAAAATAAACGTGAAGTTGACTAAGTAAACTGCTCCAAGAATTTTCAGCAGAATGGCATTTCCTTAATCATAGAGTTGGTGGATATAACGCAAGCTGTGTGATGTTTGTCAGCATGAATGTTAGTCAAAGTGCCTCCTGAATGGGGCGAGTCTGTCGTCACGTTTCGGAGTTGGAGGAGGTCTACTGTAAGTTTAAATGATGACAGAATTGTAGAAGATATGCTATTTCAATGTCCTCGAAAATCAATTATTATTCTTTAACAAAACAAAAGTACCTTCTAATATTTTTCTAATTGGAAAATGGAATAAATTTCATGTCGCTGAGAGAAGAAAAAATCTGTCATGGCTGAGATGTTGCAATTCTTCCCGTTTGGGCACAGAGTTGGCTTTGTGTGCTTCTCAGCTGGAGATACAATAGCAACATCCTACTTACTGTGTCAGCAGTAAATGTTCTTCACTGAAACCACCAACGAGATGTAAGCCGAGTACAGTCTAAAGGCCGTGCATGATACTACACTTGGAATAATATTATTGCCCAGATGATGCTTTTTCACCTACCTGGGTAACCTGAGTTAGGAAAGTTTTGTGGTGGGGGGTGTTTTTTTAATGCAGAGCTTATTTCCCTGCTCCTAAAATATTTCAGTAGTGTCACAGGTGTTCGACAGAAAGAAGAGTGGAAGAGATTTGTAATTTGGGACACTACTGCAGAGCACATATTGATCCCCCTAATGCCTGAGCATCTTGGGGTTTGTCTTTTTGTTTTTTTCAGCACTCTGAGCAGAGCTTGATAGCGATGGACAGAAAAGTGATTCAAAGAATCTGCAGAAGCCAGCGATACGAATCGGAGTTCTAAAACAAGAACTCTAAACCAGAACTTACTTTTTGTAAATATACTTTAGAAACTCTGCTGCAAGCTCTGAAACTACCTCGCTAATACTTTACATCTTAAGAGATCGTTATTCCAGTTTCTAATGTCTTTATATTAAGTTTTCTACCTGTGGGATGTGACGCTTCGTCCCCACTGTGCAATGCAGCCTTGCCTAAGAAAAGAGTCAGTTTGGCAACCTCATGGAAGTTTTGAAGAGTTGAGAAGAGACAGTAGGATGACATTTCAAAAGGCTTTAGTGAGCCAACCTTTAGCCTAAAATTGAAAGAATTTGAGAAGGAAAAAATCCTAATTATTTTGTATGAAGAACACTGTCACTTCACGTTTTGTGTCAGTCTGGCTGACCTACCAGACTGCGGCTTCCATAAGTTAATTAATTCTGCTTTAGTTCTACCAAACCGGCTATAAATCAGATCCAAGTGTTTTTTAGTTCATGAAATTTGTGAATACTTGTAAAAGTAGACAAATTACACCTCCTGCATGAGCATCAGCAAATAATTCTAAATCTTTCCTCTGTGCTGCTGCTGATTTCCCAAATAATAAATATTCCAAAATAGCTTTGGGCTAAACTGTAACTTCTGAGGTGTTGTGCACTAGCGATTTCCCCAGCGAGGCAGGATGCCAGCGATGCCTCGCTGTACAAAAGCTCAGTGTTCTCATTCTAAGTGAGTTATTTGACTGTGGCCTTGAGAATTGGTGGTGAGAGTCTCTCATTTAGCCTGGGGCTATGGGCACTGCACTTAACTAATGTGCGTGTGCTTAAAAAAATTGCCCTTAAAGACTGCTGCAGGAAGACCGAAGCTCCTTCAACAGCTCCATTCCCTCGGCTCTTTCTATTTCGCACCCGTTGCCCCTCTGCTTGGTTAATCGAGCAGAATGGTGTGTTTAGAAACGAGGAGGTTTCAGTCCGTTTCAGTCGTTATCTTATAGAATATTTGAAACTATTAAACATGCACGTGAACGTTGAGGTCACTCTGGAAGACCGGGGAAGAGCACCGTTCCTTTTGTTGGTTCTGGAAATGTTTGCTCCCTACTCTCCTTTTGTTGTAAGTACCATCCAAACCTATTTAATTATTGATCCCGTGGCTCCAGCTGGCGTGGAAGCGTGATTTGCAAAGCAGGATCAGCAGCTAAGTGACACGATGCTGACGGAAGATAAATGTTAGTCTTCTGTTGAGTTTCTGTGCCCCAGCTTATGTTTATTTTTCCAGTGCTTTGGATTCTCTTTATGCACAGTTCTCCAGCGCCTCTTGAATTCTACAGTTTCTTTCTTGAAGCTAAACTGTTGATGTATTTTGATGCAGTATAATACTTTAATCATTCACTCAGAAACCATTTCACAGGGAAAAAAAATAAGCGTTGGAGCATTGCAAAATTCCGTGGTGGCTGGATATGACTCGGTGGTACTT